CGCCGTCGTTGACACTACATCGGTTCGCAGCCCGTAATATATATATATTTTGAAGTTTTTTTACTATTCTATATAGCAACGCAATAAGATAAAATTATTTTATAATTGGCTAATTCTAAGCGAAATTGCACGCGCGATACATCAATCGACGGACAACTCACGTACGCTATTTCCGAGCCTAGATTTCCAACGTTATAATATGGGCAATCATCATTTTCCTAGCCACGATAACGAGACGTCAATCCGACAATGTTATCACGAGCGACGTTACACTATTCTATCGTCTCAATTTTCACGCGGGACTTTAGAGATAGGTATGGGCACCTAATTTTTGGCAGAGAAAAATATAATACCTACGAGATCGCAAAAGTATGACGCCCGCGCGCACGTTTGGACAGCGATAAATTTTTTCCAGAAAAAAATCGTTTTGCATTTATTTTGTATAGGTACTCGGGCTGCTCCGACAGCGATACGTAACGCCACAACGAATATAGTATAATTCGTTTTCACTGAATAATCCAAGTTTAAAAAGGTTTGACTTAATGATATTATATATTGTTTCAATCCATTGTGAACGCGTCGTGTGATTATACTATTATAATCGATTTCATCCCACGACTGTTATAATGTTATATAACTGTTTGCTTAAAATTGATGGCAACAATTACGTTAATTACGAGTGCGGAAAAAATAATATTTATGTGACAAAGGCCCACGTGCGTGACACGTCTTGCGCGGACCACGTGGTCTACGCAGTAATGTAAATATTTATTATTTGCCGCGGCAAAGGTCGACGCATTATTATTAACTAACATAATATTAATACACCTATATATAGGTTCTACCCACGGGCAAATATAGAGAAAAATAAAACGGTTTCGTTTTCCAATACGCCATTCGGTTTTAATACGTACACGTCGTCGTTTTTCACGTTTTGTCAATAAAATGGGTACCTAGTCAATTTGCGAAATTATTTACTACGGAGCGAGCGTTGTTATTATATCGCAGCATATTATAATGTTATTGTTTAATTTTAAATCTCGTAAATACAAAAGCGCACATAGTAATAATATTATATGGTACCGATTGTTTAATCGTCGTGGGTTTGTTGAAATGAATAATAACTTTCAAAAAAATTATTATGCTTCCTAAAGGTGCGTACACACGAGCGCATACTGTGCGGCGAACAAGCCGAGCATGCGTGTGTTCGCTCGTGAGGACGAAGTGTGCGGCCTATTCGGCCTATTCGTAAACGTTCGGCGAATAAGCCGCGCAAGCACACATGGCGAGCCGATCGTTGTCGGTATTTTGGTCATGCTCAAAGGAACACCGCGAGCATTCGTGTGTCCGTGTGGACGGTTAATTTTGTTTTCTGCTGTGCGTCAAAATATTTCCCATTTTTATTTATTTTGGATTTAAAGTATGGCATGATATGCATAGGCGCAATTAGGTTGGAACTAGGTGGAGCTTTGCCCCCTCAAATAGTATAATGAAAAATTACAAATCAAGAGCCATTTATTCGTTCTATAAATTGGAACCATATTTATTATTATTTGGGAAGTACGGGGGCAAGGCCCCAGCTGGTCTGTAAAAAAATCCAGCCAGCCACCCAAAAAAAGCTTGTGCCTAACTTTGGGCATATGGTTAATATAATTGATGTGATTATTTTTTCAGTAAAATCTCATTTCCTTCAAAATATACATGAATTGTTTTAATTTCAGGTATGCGGATTATCTTTACAATTTTATATATACCATTACTATGTTACGGGTTCTTGTCTACGCTTATACCTATTATAGGTACTCAAAAAGAGGTAGCTAAATAAAATATAGGCAATTACTAAAGATGGTGATGTTGTTAGTATGATAAATCTATATTTTGCTCGAACTTAGTGTTGAATAATGAATATCACAAAAAAAATTTTTATTTCTAACTGTGTAAAACCATTACTAACTTGTATTGCGTATAGTGTATGTATTAAATAATCGTGTGATATACAGAAGACTGTATTAAAATTAGTAAAATGACTAGTTCTGTTAAACCATCGTTTTCAATATATTATTTAACAACAGTTTTATTTAATGTTAAATTATAAAGATATTTAACACTAATGATGAAGAGTAGGTACCTACAATACAAAAATACCCTGTACTCTGTAGGCTTGTAGCAGCTGCCTATTGTATTATTATTTAGGGTGGCCTATGTCCTAGTCCCTCGTCCGCCACATTTTATACCTTTTTTAGTAAGATAACATTATATTGTACTCCATGCACTATTGCCGTAACTCACCACTAGTGTAGCTGTTGGTCACCACCAGTTTTTCAATTTCGATTGAATATCTGCAGACAGTTTAACAGTTAACAGTAATATTTTGTTTTTGAAATAGAACGGTAGTGTACAAGTTAGTTGCTCGTTTAAATGTTTTTAAATACCGTGTAGTGTGTCATTAAATTTTGTGATTTTTTTTTTATATCCTACGTACTGATTAAATATGTACTAAATATATAATACAAATAAATTACTCTTGAGAACATACATCGACGTACATACATATCGGAGTATTCATTGTGCGGTAAGTACCAGTTTAAGTTAATAAAAAAAAAGATGGGCAAGTGGGTGTCGCTCTGCTGTATAGTAGGTTACAAGTGTGTCGCTGTAATGGATTGTAATAAATTTGAATTCAATGATATAATATAAAAGTATAAAATATACTATAATATAATAGTATAAAAACGATTATGAGCGAAGACGGTCAGTCAACCTATGATACTATACTAAGTATATTTGATGATCTTAGTGTGAATAAAGTAATTTATATATAACATATTTACGGGGAACCTTAAATTAAATTTTCAATCCTTAGCTATAAAAGTTTTTTAAAATTTTAAAATTTATTTTAATTCGTCAAAATTCGATCTTTAAATGCTTATAAAAAAATATTGTGCCTATGTATTTTTAATATTTTTTACATCCTATTGTACCAATATATTAGGAGCCTTGTATTAAATTTTCACGCTTGTTGGCCCAACAAATAAAATTTTATTGATATTCATAAAAATAAAAAAATAGCGGGTAAGTGGATGTCGCTCTGCTGTATATTAGGAGATCGTAGAGTGGTAATCGGAAAAAAAAGTCCCGGTAAAAAAAGTCCCACACTAGGAAAAAAAGTAAGTTGTGCTTTGTATTTGACTTATTTTGATTCTTATTATGTAAATGGTACCTATAGGCGTGTAGGTTCAGCTTCTACCTTGCATTTTCGAAAAATTTCACCTATATTTCACCTTCCTCGTGGAATGTACATATAATGCCACTTTAGTAGGGGGGCATCGAGCAAATAATATGACAGAAGGATGGAATAACCGATTTTCAAAACTTTGTGGACATAAGCATCCAACTATTTGGAAATTAATAAGAAAAATAAAAATGGAAATTTCCGTAGATGAAGCAAAATTAGCTTTAGATGCTATAGGAGTCGAAAAGTCTTAAAAAACTAGGGCAAACTCGGACAGTAGAAAAACGTCTGAAAAATTTATGTATACAAATACAAGCAGGCAATATCGGTGTATAGATTTCTTAACAGCCGTAAGCCATAATATAAGGAAGAGGTGTACCTAATTATTATTTTATTATATGACTTTTTATGTAACTTTTCAATACAATTTTACCATATTTATTATTTATACTTAAATTTTGATATATTTTCATTCATTTTTATCGGGACTTAGTATTAAATTAAATTAAACTATATTTTAATATGTCATTTAAGTAAGTAATTAACACTTTTTATGTATTTATATATTTATCAGGACTTTTTTTTCCTAGTGTGGGACTTTTTTTACCGTGATTTTTTTACCGGGACTTTTTTTTCCGGGACTTTTTTTTCCGCGATTCTCGTAGAGTAGGTTACTATATTGGATGTGTTAAATTTGAATCCAATAATGGGTATCATTGTACACGAAAAACGATAGTGAACGGAGATGATGTGTCATTCTAGGATATATATTATTATATTACCTATATTTAAATTGTAATATAAATTAAAATTCAAACGCTTATAAAAAAAAATTGTGCCAATGTATTTTGAAAAATTTTTAATAACTCATAGATTAACTTATGTAGAATCTTCTATTAAATTTTTAAGTATTTTGGCTCAGCCAAAAAAAAATTAAACGAAATTTATAAAAAAAAAATTTAAAAAATCAAATATTTAAAATGCCTATAAATAGCTGAAGAATCAACGAAATATTTTGAAAAAAAAATCGTGTGAAAAAAATGTCACTTTAAACAAGTGGTGGAAGTTTCAAATTTCTACTTCTTATACTTTTTGAATAAAAATAAATATCAAAAATCGTTTGAGACTAAATCGTTGTTTTACGTGATTTCGTGAAAGTTTAAATTTAAAACGTTCATAAAAATTTTATCAATTTTGTCAAAAACTGGTTTTGCGTAAAAATTACCGTTTTTCTCCAATTTTTTTTTTTGTTTTCCACGACGCGTTCGAAAACTATTGAAAAAATCACTTATCCGTAAACAGCTCAAAATAAGTCAAAATATTTTAAAAATGTTATGGCGTGTAGAAAATGCTTACGTAAACTAAACACTCAGTCAAAATTTCATGCATCTGCAGTAATTCGTTTTTTGAATTACAACAAAATAAGAAAATCGCTATACATGAGAACTTCAAATGATCATAAAAATTAATTTTGACTTAAAATATGACTGATAGAATACCCGTACGAAAAACGCAACGTACAATTATAATTATATAATATAATTATTTTGATATGATATTCAATTAAATTTCATTAAATTTTGTAGAATATAATACAATAATATAGATAGCCGTATAAAATAGACGTGCGGGCCGCCAGTTGCTGGCATGGTAAATTAAATTAAGGAATTAATTTTACCTTCCTCAAAATAAAATATTTAGTTTATTCGTGTTTTAATAATTTTTGAAATTTAATTTTTATATAGTTGTTCATACTTTATTATTCAAAATGAATAAAGCCAAAAGGAGAGACTGGGACACCAAAACTTCTTTGCAACTAATTGATGAGTTTAGGCTACAAGAAGTACTTTGGAATCCAACAAATCAGTATTATTTTTCTAAAAATAAAAAACATGATGCGTGGTGTCACCTAGCAAAACAATTTGATACTGATATAGAAGAAGTGAAACTAAAAATTCAAAGCATTCAGGGGTCGTATCGTCGGGAAAAAGCCAAAGTGAAAAAAAGCCTTGGAACTGGAAAAGGTAATATACTGCATTTACATAATATCGAGGACTTAGTGCACACTTGTTATAAGTCACATAATTGAAATTAACTTAAAAATATATGTGGTTTCTTTTTAATGTATAAGTTGAATTCATGTAATATTCATTCACTTACCTGATGTAATAGCATTTTTAAAAAAAAATGTATGGACTTATAACAATTACCTTTTGTAAACATATTATAATAGTTTATAATAGGTAATATATAAATTGAAATATTAAACAGTTTAATTTAATTATTTTTTATTTATAGGAGCTAATGAAATATTCCGTTCAAGTTGGTATGGTTATGATGCAATGAGTTTTTTAAAAGAGAGAGATGATCCAAGGCCGACAATTAATTCAGAAAATGTAAGTTTTCGTATATAGGTATATATAATAAGTAATAAATAAAGTTAATTAGAATCATTGCATATTTTACTTACTTACCAAAATAATATTAATGTCTGAGTACATATTGTAATATTCTGTTTTATATAACTACGATGTTCTTTAGTAGGTATTAGTTGTTATAATTACATTTTACATATTTTTATAAATATTATTTTTTTCCAAACTTAACTTATTTAACTTATTTTTATTAGTTTTATATAAGCTACAAGATATTAACCTAACCTACAAACAAAAAAAATACTCTCATATATACAAATTAAGCATTTTGCCACGGTAAACTTCCATCTGTTAAAAAATAATCTGCAAATTGTTCCCTTATTTCTTGTGCATTAAGAGGAGGTCGGCGAGGTATATTTCTTATAGGTAGTAGTGATGATGCATTTTCCCCTCGTCTCCAACTTCCATGTATTATCTGGCCTTCTTCTTCTCTATCAAAAGTCCCTGGTGGATTGTATATATTTTTAGACGTTTTACTTTGTCGCAAAAAGTTGTGTAGATGAACAATTGCCATGACAACAATTTGGGCTCTTTCGGGTTCCAATAAAAGAGGTTTCCTTAATACTCGAAAAACTGCAGATGAAATTCCAAACACGTTTTCAACAGTTCTTCGAGCACGACTTAAACGGTAATTGAAAACTCTTTCCTTTGATCCTACATTATGTGTCCCAGAATATGGCTTCATAACGTTAGTTGTTAAGGCAAATGCTTCATCTGAAAGAATCACATATGGCAAGTCAATGTTTTTTCCTGGCAATGGCATCGGGGGTGGTAAGTTCAAATTCCCTCTTTCGATTTTTCTAAATAGTTCACTATTTTTGAATACACCTCCGTCCGATATCCTTCCTTGACATCCAACGTCGACAAAAAGGAAATTATAATCTGCATCAACTAATGCAAACAGAACAATACTAAAAAAAGACTTATAGTTGTAGAATTCACTACCACTATTAATTGGAGATTGTAAGACTACGTGCTTTCCGTCCATTGCTCCTATACAATTTGGATAATTCCACATTGTTCCAAATCGTTCAGCAATTCTTAGCCATTCATTTGGAGTAGAAGGCATCTAAAGAAAATAATTTATTATACTATTAATTTAACTTAAACAGTTTTGCATACCTAGATAAAATGTATTGAAAATTAATATAACTTTTAAACATTTTTTAAAAAATACGTCGTTGAAAAATTATTAAAACAAGCTTTTTAAATAGTATCATGTTTAGATGAAATATTTTAATTCATCTTCACAGCTTATAAAAATAAAGCAATATCAATCCGTAACTCCTGTCTTAACGTTTGATAAATTTTATAAGGCAAATACATCTCTGCTGTATAGTAGTTGTCGAGCATGTCTACCGGGTACGTTATAATATGCTGATCTCAAAAATCGGAGCATTTTACTACCCCAAATGTTGATGAGATAATTTTTATTTTTAAAAATAATTAGGAAAAAAACAAAAATAAATATAACTTAGGGTTATTATAACTCAGAATCGTATTTTTTATTATCACAGTAACCTACTCAATTATGAGGTACACTAAAACCCTACTAGTTCTCGATTGTTTATTAATAAAATTAATAATTAATTTTATTTACTAATGGTTAATCATTTTACATGTATTAATTATAAATATATTTTATTTTCAGCTACAAAATGAAGTTGAAGAAGCTTCTTCTGACTATAGCTACAGTTATTATAATGATAACCTTTCGTTGGACATTTCGGAAATACAAGGGCCATCAACACAGCAATTGTCGCCAGCGCAAAATGAAATAGTGCCACCACCCAGCAGGAAAGATAGTGTTGATGAAATTATTAGTCCTGGGAATCCAAATCAACCACGAAAAAAGAATAAGAAAAACTCAACCAATACAATTGATCATAAAATTGATGAAGCGTTCAACATTCTGAAGAGGTCTGCGTCAAGCTTTGAGTCAAATTCATCCGATGAATGTACAACATATGGTGCCCATGTAGCAAACAAAATAAGATCTTATCCACCACACACTCGATCGATCGTCCAACACTATATTAATAACATACTTTTTGACGCGGACATGGGAAGATATGATTACTATTCTGCAAACCCACATATTCTTTTTCAAAATCCAGTACCACAAACAAATCTAAGTTCCTATAACTTGAATACTCATATAGACCCTTCAAACCACTCTTCATCAAATTCGGTTGGTACACCAACGGAGTTTTTATCTGAGTCTACGTCATCTGTATTAGATCTAGGTAGTCATCTGACATAGAATTAAATAAAAATATAAATTGCTGGGTACTTGTAAATATCGAGAAAAACAATTGTGTAAAAATAAGAAATTTTATAATGATATATTGCTTGGTAATTTTTTGCATGACACCGACAATATTTAAGTGTGGTAATTTTCTGATTTAAAAATGTATATTCAGACATTTGTCTGTATAAAAAAATTTTTTTTATAGATATTTATTATTTTTATTATTATGAGTTTATGACTGTTAAATTGTTAACCCAAAGGATATTTCAAAAGTTGTTTTTGTTATTTTTTTTATAATAGGCATGTTTTTAAAAAGTAATCGTTTTTTGTTAATAATTAATATTGTTTGTTTCTCAGTTTTTAAAGAATGTTGATTAGTTGATTAAATTAATGATAAAATTGACTCCAGTTAAAATATATTATACTTTTTATTGAACTTACCTTTACATATGTCTTCAATACTTTAACAAGTGCGCTACAAACTTCTGGAATTATAGTAGAAATGATCTGTTTAGAAATTTTAAACAGATATTGCAAGCTACTATACGAATCTCCTGTAGCGAGAAATCGTAACGTCACTGCTAATCGTATTTGGACTGTAATAGCAGGTCTCATATTAGTATTTTGTTTGTATATAAGTGGGCCAACAAGGCAAATTATTTTTTCAAAATCTTCTGAAGACATTCTGGTGAAATTTTGAAAGTGAAATACATTTACGTCATTTTTAATACTGTTTATCATGTTGGAGCCTCTATCTTCGTTATCTCTATAAATTTGTGACATCCACCATCGTCTTTTACGAACATTTTTTTTTTCTTTCTTTTTCGCAAGCTCACACATTACGATGAACGCTGCACTTGCAATTTGTAATTGATCACTCATGATTAAACAACAAAAAACACGATTTACGTTTCCACTTTTCAGTTTAAAAAAATGTAGAGTATTACTTAGTTATTACTTAGTTCAATTAAAATGTAAACACCTTTAAACATAAAGTAAACTCGATTACATTCTCGCATGGCGTATAGTCTACTACTGAAAAAAGCGCAGGGAAAAATCCGGGATTTGGTCGAATAACCACGCATGGGTTGTGTGTGCGACGCACGATGTCCACACGAAAGAATACATTCTTCCACATGCTCATGCGAGCTTGTTCGTGTTCGAAGGTGCTCACTTTGTTCGCCACACAATGTGCGCTCGTGTGTACATACCTTAAGACACGTCAGATTTATTTTAAAACAACGCTCTCCATGTACGCTACAGACCACAGGTAAAATGAGTTGCAATTGAAACATCCATCACGTTTACAGACGTTGATAGTTTTTTTGTAAGTGTATTGAGTGTATTGAGATATTTTAAGTGTTTTGTAAGTGTATAACAATATGTTAAAGTAGATTGTTTGATCGTTTTATTGTTTATTATAGTTATTGCCTATTGGAGCGTGTAACGGTACTGTAATATTGCATTTTCATCTTTAAAATATTAAAGTTTCCAGTCGATATGATGCTTATTATTAATGTCAAATGTACATTAATTAATCTATTTATTAAGTCTAAAGTCTTATTGTTATTGTTATCCAATTATCATTATGCAGACAAAAGCACATACTATTACAATTGCAAATTGCAATAATAGTAATACTGATCTTTCGGTGTACAACGCATTATAATATAGTTAAAAAAATGATTATAACTATACGAAAGACATACTGCAGGTACAATAATGTGTCAATGTACATAATATATTATTATTGCGTCTGGTAAGTGGTGACCTACGGGCTGCGACCTAATCGAATTATAAGCTCTTTATATATAAGAGTGAATAAGACTGAAAACGACGATGGTGGCATGTTCATATTTTTTATTATATAAAATAATATACACGATAACCCACAAACTTAATAAAATAAAAATATATAAAAAAAACTTTAACCTAGGATCGGTAAATCAAATTTAAAACAAACAATGATAATATTTCAATATTATATGAGTAGTAAACAATTAAATGGCATGCAATTTAAACATATTTTGTATTATATAAATATATAATAATAAAACTATGTATCGTCTATATCACGCTCTTGAGGCTCTTAGCGGTTTATCAAAGAATATACCTATTGTCTTTACTTATTATATACGTTATACCTATCTACACTATATTATACACTTATGAATTATGACGATTAAAATATTCCATAATATGATGATAAATTGTTATTCGAGCGTTCGAGTTATCATAATTTATTTTACGTTATCCACGTTGGAGCATTGACAGAGTTTAAAAATATATCAAAGTAGCTATGTTTTAATATAACAATATATAATAATTATTACGTCCATAAATTATTATTATGTAAACAGTATAGGCACCAAAGCAGTATATGTAACTACTTTATTTTAAATAATAATCAAAATAATATAGCACTGTTTCGCTACATTTTAAAAACAAGTACGTTACACTGCTCTAAAACAGGTACTTCTAATCTTCTAATACTTGCAAATATCTCGGTCAAGTCTGCAGGTCTTATAGTAAAAAATATTTGTAAAAAAAATGTGCATTTCAATGAACAACGCAATATGTGTTACACAACTATATTATTCGTCCAATCGTCCATATTATTTGTCTAAAATATAGGTTTGAACTCAATATAGTATTATATTGTGTATTTTACACCTTCTATCGTACGGTTTTTGGGGCTTCATTATGCACTCTAGACTCTGTAGAGTGAATATTATAATATCGATCGCTGAGCTGGTATAATACAAATAAAATATATACATAATAATTATAGAACCCGACGTGCATAAAGTATATAATATAGGTACTGTCGATAAAGTTAAATCATTTTGAGGGTTTCTATCGAAACATCCAAAGCCATGTTTCCGGATTATAGGTTAGTCACTAACCGACATGAACACAATTTCACAGTTCAAAACACAATCGTCTTGAATAAAAGAAAAATAATAACGTTAAAAAATAAAAATAAATGGTGTATTAAATTAATATTTTATAATATTAGGTATATAATTTTAAAAATATATAGAGTACAGTTATGTAATGATAAACGTGAGCTTATTGATTTCTGATTTTAATATACCTTTACCGAGGCCACGTCTACAAACATATCGATTTTATAATCGAGTTCCAATAGAATGCGTTTACTATACATATGACATATCCATATAATAGACCATAGCCCATAGGTACCTTATAACTTGTCTTGTTCTGTAGGATAATAACTATAATAACAATTAAGTTCAGCAATATTGGTTATATTATATTAATATTTTACCTATACTAAAATTATACACATATAGACGAGTATACAAGTTATAGTTGAACATATACTCAAGTCATTGTGCTACATGTCTTCTATTTAATAATCGTTTAAAAGGCCTAAACTGCACATCTTTGATTGCGAAAGCCGTAAAAGAATAATATTCAAAAACAAAAAATGATATTTATTTAATATTTTATAATAATCGAAGTATAATTTAATTAGTACACCAGCTCAGTACAGTTTGGTAACGTATTAACGATAATTATTGATTTCTGATTTTAATACCTTTACCTCGACTATGTGTACAAACATTTCGGTTTTGCCTAGAATAACTATAGGTACTTTTATTATACATCCAAATGCTAGGCCATTAGCACATATACCTATAACTCGTAAAATTCTGTAGACTATTAAAGTATTAACTATTATCAATTAAGTTCAACTATTATATACATCAAATTTTGTACATACGTGTAAATATATTACATTATATACCTACAACCTACCTAGTACCTACCTATGTTGTAAATAATATGTACTGTAAGTTTAAATAGGTACCTACGTAGAAAAATCTTTACGAGTATACAAATTCATAGTTTAGATACTGAAGTCATTGTAAGTACCTACTACATTACTATAGGTACTTTAAAGAGTTCGAAAGGCCTAACTACACACGTCGTCGATCGATTGTGAAATTGAATACATAGAACTATAGTTAGTTATAATGCCAATAACCTGTCGTTGCGGCTTAATAAAAAAAAAAAAAAAATTAGTTATAATATAGCAGGTAGAAAAATAAAAAATATTTTAACTATAATCTAGTTATCATTGGAAAGACTATTTTAGGTCAAATCACGAGTATGACATACATATTAGGGTACCTATGTATTTGATGTCAAACCAGTATACTATTATAACTTACTGTCCACTAAATATAAAAAAACACTAAACAATATAGGTACCAATGGTCTTTTAAGATGAAATATAAAATACAGGTAGCTTAGATATACGTAGGCGGTAATAAATAATTTTTCGAGTGATCAAAACAAGTTGGGTATTCATTTTTTTTCTTTTGATAGAATAATATAAAAACAAAAATCGAGGACAATTATATATTCTGCAAATATTTATAAGAATTTACCTACGTGTAAAATTTCAAACTATTACATTTTAAATTGTAATATTGTCATAATTACTAATCTACAGTAGGTAATTGATAATATACACATCGCATAAAATAGTTTTTTGATTACTTATAGCTTTGAAAATAATATACCTCAATACTTTTATATATTAGGGAAAAAAACGAGTAATTTGGATGAGTGACATATTCGGCAATCTCTATATTACTATAACGCTGTGACATAATTTAGTGTGTTAGCGATAATCAGTTGACAACGCACGTACAGAACGGTAGATAATTTAATAGAAAAAAAAATAATATCCAAACTTTTTGAGCCATCGATATTATATAATTGTACTCAAGTAACATAATTTACTAGAAAATTTAGTAATTTACTAAATTTTAACTATAGTTACAGCAAGAATACAATGTAATATTATATCATATTAATAGGACGTAACCTACACAACATTTAGGCGAAATTCCGCCTTCCAAGTCTAGTACATCTAGTAATCTTAAGTAGCCGTCCTTAACAGTAAATGCGTTGACTAGGTACTTTATTTTTAAAAACTAATAAAAGATTTATAGTACCTATCATATAATAATATGCCAAGTACTTAAATAATAGGTACATTATAATATTAAATTTAACTGGTCTTTAATTTAAAGATAATGTTTTCAAGTATTTACTATAGTTCTATTAATTTAAATTTGCTGAATATAGACATTATTAAAACCAGGTAAAAAACACGTATTTCTTCAATGTACGTATTTATTATTCTAAATATTTAAAAAGATTAGAAAAATAGTTTTTCTAAAAAATCGCTTATGTTGTGCCATCACTCATCAATTATAATATAATAGTTTAACAAAGATTAAAAGATTTTTTATCACCATGCACACTATAATGATATATAAAAAGATCAGTGAATGTGATGCCGACCATCGTTGTAGTTTATATTATTTAAACGCATATATTATATAAACGAAATATTAAAATAATATTTCTTTATACGCTCTAAATAAAATAATGTGTATGGGAAATTAAAAATAATTGTTTTGTACATTTATTTTGTTTTGATTATTATATTCGGTCAGTAGAGCAGCGACGTAAAAAAGCTCAAGTATTTTTGGCTTCCATACATAAAAGAAACTGAGCCAATAAAAACACTGTGAAATGCCTAAACTCTAGTAGCACATTTTCAACATTTTTTTTATATCGGACGAATAATAATTGTTCTTGTCAATCGTGTAAAAAACTATTGACAGAATAATTTTTTATCGCACATTATCTGATTTCGGATTTCACAGAGTTTTTATGGATACCCACTTCATTGAAAATTAAAAGTGTATAGGTAGTTTAAAGTATATTAAAACCAGGAGCCGAGATGCACCACAATTTTTAAGAACATTCTAAGCTTCTATAACTTGAGATACACATAAATAAGAAACTATTGGTTCAATTATGAATTAACAATA